AGTTGTGAGTTGCAGAATCTAGAGTTCTTTCTGTTCAAAGGCAGGACAGGGCTCCCAGATTGAGTGTTAGAGTTTGGAGAGAGAAAATTCATCTTTCCTGTCCGTTTTTGTTTGGTCTGTGCCCACAGTTGATTAGAGGAAGCCCAGACACATTGAGTGAGGGCAGATCTTCATTACAAGTTCACAGAATCAAAGCCAGTCTCTTCTTGAAACACCTTCACAGCTATAACCAGAAATAATACTTTGCAAACTATGTATCCCTTAGTCTCAATAAGTTGACACCTAGAATAAACTATCACATCTGACTACTTACATCCATTTATAATCCCTAAGAAAGAATTATGAGTACTTTTGGATAGAACTAGTACAGGATTTCAGAAATGTTGGTATGTACAGTGAACAGCCATGTACATGTCATGTCTCTGGGGGGAAGTCATGTTTACTTCCCAGCATCTGCGATCCGTAGTCTGCAATCCACACCAAGCTGTCTTTCCATTGCTTATGGTTACTGGGGCTTGGTAACAATGCAAGAAAATGCTAAGATTCTAGCTATGGTCATTGCTTTTGTCTCTAGCTTTGTATTCTAGCTTTTGTCTCTGAAAGAGGGGACAGAGGAAACACTGGTTTACAACATAGTAGAAATCTTTGGAAACTTTTCCTCTCTGTTCTGTATTATTTACACCTCCCTCCGGCCTGATAAAAGATTACCGCCTAAAGTTTGGCTCAAAATACAAAGTGTTTCAGAGACTCTTCCTAGAAAACTGAAGTCTAGATTTCTCTGGTTTTCCTGTGGATCTGTGTGGCTGTGTCTCAGAAGCTAGAAAACTCAGTGAGGCTTAGGTTATGGGCTGTGGTGGTTGTGACAAGCTCTGTGGATCCAATTATTAGGGATGTGTGTGGCCAAGGGCAAACATGGGGCTGTCTCCTTATTTCATGCGTTTTTCAGCTTCATCTGTAAAGAATTGTGAAATTCTAGGTAAAGTTGTGAAAGAGAGGACAAGGAATAGACTTAAGCAGTGGACTAGCTTTTACAGTGGAGGTAGGGTGTGGGCTAATTAGCTGTGTCTTATTCAACACTGAATTATGGGAAAGAAACTAAGAGAAATTAGCATATGCTTCATGTTTGTTTGCTCTTAGTGTCTGCCATCACAGGGAGATCTCTGCCCCTTGGGGCTGAGAGACCCCCAACCTTCCCCCAAGCTGAAGCTGCAAGGTATTGAGGTACCAGCCAGATGTCTTCCCACAAAGGATCGGTGGCAGCACAGGGCACTGGAACTCCTGCCAGTAACAGGGAAACTGACACAGTGGAACTGGCTGAGCTGGGACCTCTGCTAGAAGAGAAAGGCAAGCAGGTGATGGACAACCCAACCAAAGTAAGTCATCCTCCCAGGACTCACTCCCTGGACTGATACTTCTCCTTGGGTCTTGTTAGTCTCTACTCTTTAGAGCCTCATCTTCATGCACCCTGGGAATATATTTGGGTCTGTAAGTATCATTTTGTCTGTTTTTTCTACTGGAAGCTTTGGGCAGTCCACTCCCCCAGAATGCTTGTCATTTTTATAACTCCACTACTTAGCACAAGGCCTGAAATCTAATCACAATAATCAGTAAATTTCTATGAATAAATGTAGAAAGCACCTAGGATTAGGGTTGAATTCATGTAATAAAACAAAAAGCCCTGTAGTTTTGACAACTTAGAAGTCTGTCTCAAGTAAAAGGATTCTGGAAGTAACCGGTCAGAGGCTGACAGGGAGGTTCTGTCACTGTCAGGCACCTGCCTATCTCCTCCACTGTGCACATAGCCCCACCCGTCAAGGAGGGAAGAGGAAAAAAGGCCCACTCTGCCTTTCAAAGACTGCATCAGGATATTCAGCTGCAATGAGAGTTAGGAAATGCCTTTTCTTTTGTTGGTTTGTTTTTTTTGTTTTGTTTTTTTCCCTTTGGTACCGGGCATTGAACTCAGGACCTCGCGCTTGTGAGGCAGGTGGAGGCACCACTGAGCCAAATCCCTGGCCCAGGAAATGCCTTTTCATTTGGGCCTGAGTAAAAAGGTAAGGACACAGTGACCCTGAATAAAACCAAGAACTTTGTCCCTTTGGAGGAGACAGAATGGATATTGGGGTAGGTGGGCCAGAATCTGTATCACAAATCTAAGAGGGAGCATGGGCCAAAGGAGGAGTTGAGCTGCCAGGTTTCCTAGCTCTGTGTTCTGGAGCCCTGGGACCCAGGGAAAAGCCTTTCTCCTTTATAGCCTTGTGCTCTCCCAAGTGAACCAGCCTGGGCTCAAGAGTCAGGACTGCTGCTTGGTGTGAAAACAGCTCTGAGGCTCAGTACTCCTGAGAGCTTCCGTGGATACAGAGTTGCAGTCATGTTGGCATCCCCAGAGCCAGTGAAAAGACAACCATGAAAAATAGGATTGTTGTTAAGGAAATCTTGGAGACTGTGTCTTTTGCATTGTTTTGAAATTTAGTGACCTGTTAGAGAAAAGTTATTGGGGAAAGTGAAAGGGTCATTCCACAGAAAAGAAGACCTAGGCCTAGATAGCCTGTTCTGTGTCGCTGTGTGCTGAATAGCACTTTCATTCCAGCACTTACACGCTGTCAATAACCCTTAAAATATAGAATTCCAAACCGAGTAAGTATCATACTCTGGAGAAGAGGCCGCCACAGCAGAACATGTTGCCTTCGGGTACCTGATCAGGAATGGTCTGGTTTATGCGGTGACTCCCTGAACTTTTGATTGTTGGTTGCTTGTTTTTTCCCACAGGCTGAAGACGAGCAAACATGCCCGGTGCCCCAGGAAGAGGAGGAGGAGGTGCGGGTGCTGACACTGCCCCTGCAGGCCCACCATGCCATGGAGAAGATGGAGGAGTTCGTGTATAAGGTGCAGCCTGGAAGGGAGGGCAGCAGGCTTTTCCCGGGTATTCTCATTTGGCAGGCCTGCCTGGGCATGAAGAGCTTTTGCTCCTGTTGGTGGGCTTGTTTTTTGGTTAAGGGAAAGACTGGCTATATTTTTACAACCTACTGTGTTGGACATTGTTCAAAGAAATACTCTAAGGGCCGGGGATTTAGCTCAGTAGTGTGGCCATCTGCCTCAAAAGCAAAAGGTCCTGAGTTCAGTCCCTGGTATTGCAAAAACAAAAAACAAGCAAACAAAAAAGCCTCTAAAACAGAGGGTTTTTAATTTGCTTGTGTGGTAAGGAGACCTTTTAGCAGTCATCAGAATAATTAAATGATCTAGTAATAGGGGCTCCTTTATTAGTGCATCAAATATGCATTAATGATAAGCCCTGTTTTATTAAAATTTCTAATTCCTGGTAGTGATGAGATTTTTGAGGTATCTGCAAAACTAGCACATGAAAGACACTGCATTGGTGCGTGCCTGTAATCCTAGCACCCATGAGGCTGCAGGGCAAGAGGCATGAGTTTGTGGCCAGCCTGGGCAATTTAGCAAGTTCAAGGCCAGCCTTGTCTCCAAGAAAAAACAAAACAAAATAAAATACTATGAAATAGTATGGAAATACATGTTTGGTTTGTTTTGAGTTTTATTTTTCTATGCTGAGGATTGAGCCTAGGGCCTTTTGCATGTTAGGCAGGCACTCCACCACTGCGCTACACCCCTAACCCTGAAAACGTTTGATTTCTGCTGATGACAAAGCCATAGATTCTACTACTACTACTGGTATGTCTTGTTGGGGTTTTTTGTTGTTTTTGTTTTGCTTTGGTTTTTGGTACTAGAGATTGATCTCAGGGCCTTTACATTGAGCTACATCCCCAGCCCCCCATTTTTATTTTGAGACAGGGTCCTCCTAAGTTGTCCTGGCTTGCAATCCTCCTGCCTAAGCTTCTCAGAGTGCTAGCATTACAGATGTATGCCGCCACACCCAGCTCTGCTGTTTATAATTGGGGGAAGTATGATATTTAATTAGAGGTAAATAAGATACTTGTTCCATACAAGTTTTCATCTATTCTCTGGATTCTATCTATTGTACATGGATCCTAGATGAAGAACCTCTGCTCTTCAAACATGTAGGCCCAGCCCAGTAAGAAACTAGAATCTGTCTAGGTAAAAGGGGGTAGAGCAGGAAGTGATCTCTTAGAGAAAAAGGATCTCTTTTTTAAAAGAAGATGTCTAATTTCTTTATTTTCATTCACTATATTAAATTTTAAATTTCACTGAGTCTAAAGGTAGTTGTGCAACATAATCTTTAAAGGTTGAGAAGTACCTGAAACACATCCAGAAAATTGACATGAAATAAGGACAAAGGGAGTTTTTAATTAAGTAGTCAAAATAGGATCAATTCTTCCCAGCCCCATTTGTCAGTTTCTTAATGAAAAAAATGAAACAAAATTTTTAACAAAATAACAATAGTTAATACACTTCATATTATCTTCAAAGTAGTTACTCAGAGTACAAGACCTAAACCAAAGATTCTTATAGAAAAGAAACATAATAACACAAAACTTTCTTTTTAACAAGCTAAGATAAACTAGGAGTATAAATAGAAACAGGCCTGGGGATTTAGCTCAGTGGTTCCAGCACTGCCTCGCAAGCTCAAGGGCCGGAGTTCGATTTCCAGTACAAAAAATAAAAACAAAAAAATAGAAACGAATTAAGCATACATACTGAAATACTTTTGAAACAATAGAATGCGTAATTGGGGAAGTATTTGAACTTCTCTGTTCCCATTATCTCTCTACTATGCTGTGGTCTAGACTGGCTGTCCAGTCTGAGCTGGGACCACCCAGCCTGGCTGATGCCCTCCTAGACTGGCTCTCCGTCTCGGTGTGTCCCTGGGGGAGGCCCTTCCTAGAGACACTGTATGTATTCTAGGTCTGGGAGGGACGCTGGAGGGTCATCCCGTATGATGTGCTCCCTGACTGGCTGAAGGACAATGACTACCTGTTACATGGCCACCGACCACCCATGCCCTCCTTCCGGGCTTGCTTCAAGAGCATCTTCCGCATCCATACAGAAACTGGCAACATCTGGACCCATCTACTTGGTGAGAGATTTGGATAGGGAAAAGTCCGATGTCTGGTCTCCTTTAACTGTCCAGGGATTATATAGTCTTGGTCCACAGGAAGGAAGAAAAAGATCGCTCCAGAATCGTACCACTGACCTTGGTTGACCCTTGATTGCTGTTCTTTAAGACTGAGGGTATTATGAACCAAACTCTTAAAAAAAAAAAAAAAAAAAAAAAAAAAAAAAAAAAAAAAAAAAAAAAAGGCAGGTTAGAAGAAGTGTCTGAGACTAAATATTCTCTTATGATTCCTGGTAGCACTGTTCTTGATAGAGGTGACGTGTTCAGAATTTCTCAATATAAAAACAAAATGCCAGGATCTAATAAACTGGTCTTTCTGCCTGAGTTTGAATGACTGGTGACCATTTTTTTGAAGTTTCTGACTGCACTTCCCACAACTTACCTCATAGTTGATGAATATAAATCCATCAGCTGTCACAGTTCATGGTTCCTTTTACCTCACAGGTTTCCTTCTCTTTCCTTCCTGCAGGTTTTGTGCTCTTTCTCTTTTTGGGAATCCTGACCATGCTTCGACCAAATATGTACTTCATGGCCCCTCTACAGGAGAAGGTGGTTTTCGGGATGTTCTTTTTGGGTGCAGTGCTCTGCCTCAGCTTCTCCTGGCTCTTTCACACCGTCTATTGTCATTCAGAGAAAGTCTCTCGGACTTTTTCCAAGTGAGTTGAAAGGACAGCCATGGGCTAGAACATGTGTCTATCTGGCACATCTGGTGGTCCCAGTGCTAACTGGGCACTGGAAACCCTCTAACTCCCAAAAGGGCCCTGGAGTACCTAATGAAAAGCTTCCTGTTCTACGGATATAGCAAGATGATGAAGCTTTTCTTTGAACACTTTATGAAGAAGTTGACCAGCCTCCATGACAGTGGAAGCTGACTGTGGAATGTATTTGCTACCTAAACAGTACTATCTCATGAAACAGACTGCCAGTGTGTTGCTTTCTAAGACCTTGTACCCAATTCTAATACATCTTACTGGACCAGACCAGAGTAGGGCGTGGCAAATAGTCTCCTCCCCATCAATCAAGCAAAGTTTATCTTTGCTGCGCAGGCATTGCTAGAAGCCCTGGGGTTCTGTTAATGTGTGTGCTTCTTTTCATTACTGTTGGCTTTGGTAATGATGGCAATAAATTATTTTCCCAGTAACACTAGTAACAAGAGTTCCTTATGAAAAGATTGCCAGGATTGGTGGCTTGCACTTGTAGTCCTAGCTACTTGGCAGGCTGAGGCAGGAAGATCACTTGAACCCAAAAATTTGAGGCCAGCCTGGGCAACATAGGGACACTGACTCAACAAAACAAAACAACAACAAACCAAGTACCCTTCATAATGTTCCCAAGTGAGTTCCAAACATTTGAGTTGCAAATTTTCATAGGTACATTATGTAAGGCTTATTTTGTCTAATTATGAACAAATCTGACTTAAAAATGTTCTCCTAGAATGGAACTTGTTCGTAAGTCAAGGACTTACTGTACACTCATATTCCCAGTAGAAGAAGTTTTAGAACTGACTCTCAAAATGAGGGATTATTCAGAGCCCTTCCTGTGATGCTGGAAACCAGCTGCACTGTGACAGATTTGTAAATTCCAGTATAGGAAGTGTCAAGTTGGGGAGTAGGAGGAGAACAGAAAACCAGTTAAGTGAGCCATGAGATTGCTTCATCTCTTCCACTGATTTGTTTCTTTTTGTGGCTTTTAGACTGGACTATTCAGGGATTGCTCTGCTGATTATGGGGAGCTTTGTCCCCTGGCTGTATTATTCCTTCTACTGCTCCCCACAGCCTCGGCTCATCTACCTCTCCATCGTCTGTGTCCTGGGCATTTCTGCCATTATTGTAGCACAGTGGGACCGGTTTGCCACTCCTAAGCACCGGCAGACGAGAGCAGGTAAGTAGGAAAACAGTGCGAACCTCAGAGGTATTGAGACCTTGACCCTTCCGAGGTCAGCTCTTCGGTTTGCACTTTGGGAACCCACTAATACCTGACGTGTGCTTGGGATTTTCACAATAGCATGAATTTCCAAAGCTCAGTCGCATGAATCTCGTATTTCAGTAGGTTGATAATAGGACACATGCTTACCCAGCTGGTCAGTTAGCTACAAGCATTGACACAAGTGCTCCTCTACTTAACTTAAAAGAAAAGTGTTCAGAATACAGCAAGCAAGGGCTGGGAATTTAGCCCAGTGGTTCTGCCGCCTGCCTTGCAAGCACAAGGACCCGAGTACCAAAAAAAAAAGACAGTTCTTCAAAGAAATACAGCAAACGAGATTAGGACCTGAATCCTAAACGTGCAGTCTGAGGTATTGAAATAATAAACCATAGGATTTTAAATTTTTTATTTATTTATTTTTGGTGCTGGGAATGGAACTCAGGACCTTACACTTGCCAGGCAGGTACAGTGCCACTAAGCTAAATCCCTGGCCTACTGTAGGTACTTTACTAAGAGGATGAGAAGCCTGTTTTGGTGAGAGAAAAAATGACCTTGAGCCTAAACACTGGTAACAATGTGATACAGCTGAGAGCATAATCATCTGTGTTGTCTCAGCTGGATTCTCATTTTAAGCTTTGATTAATTACAGCAATACCACCACTTACCATAGTTTTTGGCTCCTTTAGACTTTTTTGTTTTTTGAAACAGGATCATATTATGTAGTCCTGGCTGGCCTTGAACTCACTGTGTGGCCCAGGCTTATCTCAAACCTGCAGTAACCCTCTTGCCTCAGCCTCCTGAGTGCTGTAATCACAGACTGTGCCCCACCACGATCAGTCCCTTTAGACCTAATACCTGCTATATTTTAACCTTCAGTTAAAAGAATTTTTTATTTTTTTTATTTTTTATTTTTTTTACCAGGGATTGAACTCTCGGGTCCTTGTGCTTGCAAGGCAGTAAAAGAAATATTTATTAGGCACCAACAGTTTGGCAGGCACTGCTTAAACAAGGCTATCTACAAAGATGATGGTAGTCCCTGTCCCTAGTTCTGGAGAGTGTGGTGGTATCCAGACAGTATCCATTTTTCCTTTGTTCTTGCCTTATTTGTGTGTCCCAGAAGTTATGGACAACTGTTCATCTGGGTAAACCAATCCACCATGTGGTCAAGAGGGCTGTTACTTGCCTTTGTTATGTTCGTGATGAGAAACCTGCCCACGCTCTAGCTTGGGACCAGCTGAGGCCCTGCCATCTAGGATCTGACCCAAGTCATCTATTAGAGAGTTCTGACATTTTTATTTTTCCCTACAGTGCTGGGGCACAAATCCAAGGCCTTGCATACGCTAGGCAAGTACTCTACAAATGAGCGTAACCCCGGGCCCAACAGTTTGGTGGTATTTTTTGGTTTTGTGAGGCAGTCTCACTGAGCTGCCCAGGCTGGCTTCAGCCTTCTTCTGATCCTCCTGCCTCAGCTCCTGAGTAGCTGGGACTCTAGGCATGGGCCGAACCATGAACTGACTGCTAAGCCATTTTTAAGCCATGTTTTCTAAACATGGACTATTTGCCTAAAAATAGCTACAGTACTTACCACAGATGTTGGAGTCCAGAGTAAGGCAGCAGAGCCTGCTGTGTAGCAGCTATTCCCCTGCCTGACGGTCTCGTGTCTGCCCCATTCAGGAGTGTTCCTGGGGCTTGGCTTGAGTGGTGTTGTGCCCACTATGCACTTTACTATCGCCGAGGGCTTTGTCAAGGCCACCACGGTGGGCCAGATGGGCTGGTTCTTCCTCATGGCTGTGATGTACATCGCCGGCGCTGGCCTTTATGCTGCTCGTATTCCTGAGCGCTTCTTCCCTGGAAAATTTGACATATGGGTAAGAACTGACCCTTCCAGTAGGTCTGTGATGGTGAGTGCCCATCTCAAGCTAAAGGTCTTAGGAAAAGGTGGTAAGAGACCTGGATGAGATATCGTTTGGGAGTATGGGTATGTACATTGGCAGGAAATAGCCAGTGTTAAATGATCTCTGATAGAGACTTTTTAAATTTTCTATGATGTGTAGGGAAGGGGGGAAAAGAAGAAAATGTGTTATGTACATGTACTAGGTTGCTTGCAATCATTATGTACTGCAAACTACTGATAAGAGTTAAAAGAATTTTTTCTGTCATTTTCATGATGAAAAGAAACACTAGAGCCGGGCGTGGTGGCGCACACCTGTAATCCCAGCACTGGGAGGCTGAGGCAGGAGGATCACCGTGAGTTTGAGACCAGCCTGGGCTACATAGTGAGTTCCAGGTCAGTCTCAACTATGTAGTGAGACCCTGTCTCAAAAAACCAAAAAGAAGGAAAGAAAGAAAAGAAACACTAGAAAAGGAAATGCTTTCTCCTACTTAGTTCTAGTTCCTCCTTGCCATTACTCTAACTGTTCTTTTTATTCCTGCAGTTCCAGTCTCATCAGATTTTCCATGTCCTGGTGGTTGCAGCAGCCTTTGTCCACTTCTACGGGGTCTCCAACCTGCAGGAATTCCGTTACGGCCTAGAGGGCGGCTGTACTGATGACTCCCTGCTCTGAGCCTTCCTACTCGCATGGTGGAGGAGCAACTTCCCAAGTGCTTTTAAAGATAACTTCTTTGCTAAAGTGAGAGGAAGACTGTTGTCTGTTTCTAGAAGAAACCTCTTAGAAAATTCAGTACCAATCAAGCGTCAGCTCACTTTGACAGCCACTGGGCAATAGACTTTCCATTTCCATTCCCCAGTTGGGGAGGGTGCAGAGGGCCGACCTCCTCACTCCCCCACTCCACAGTCACCCTCCTCGGCAAAGCAGCTACTTACTGGTCCTTCCAGAGACAGTACTTTGAAGCTCATGTTGAGATTTTACCCCTTCCTTCAACCATTTTGGAAAAATTACAGACTGGGACACTTCAGAAATTTTTTTTTTCTGAAAGAAAAATGTCCCTCCCTTGCCCCCCCGTCCTTACTTTGTAACCAGGCTTATAACAGGCCATCCATTTTTATAGCACACTTTTCAAAAACAATTATAACCTGGTCCCATCTTTCTAGGGCCTAGATCTGCTTTACACAGCAGGAAGAATAAAGCCACCAACTTTTACGTAGCCCGGCTAATCATGGAAGTGTGTCCAGGCTTCAGATAACTTGAGTTTTAATTTTTTTTTTTTCCTTGGCAGAGTAATGTAAAATTATAATGGGGAAAAATATTTAATATTTAATACTAAGCTTTAAAAAGAAACCTGCTATCATTGCTATGTATCTTGATGCAAAGACTGATAATAATAAAAAAAAAAGTATAGAAGACGCTTTGGTGTTTAGATTTAACGCACATAAGTTGCATACAACTCCAAAGGATTAAGATGTACAGTAAGGCCAGGTGGGGTGTCGCACACCTGTAATCCCAGCACTCCGGAGGCAGAGGCAGTAGGATCACTATGAGTTCGAGACCAGCCTTGGCTACATAGTGAGTTCCAAGTCAGTCTCAACTAAGTAGTGAGACCCTGTCTTAAAAAAAAAAAAAAAAAAAAAAAAAAAAAAAAAAAAAAGATGTACAGTAATTCCAGATTCTCCTGAGGCACAAAATTAAATCACAGACGGCTGGGCATGGTGGCACACGCCTGTAATCCCAGGGAGGCTGAAGCAGGAGGATTGCTGTGAGTTCGAGACCAGCCTGGGCTACATAGGGAGTTCCAGGTCAGTCTTAACTACATAGTGCGACCCTGTCTCAAAAAACAAAACAAACAAAATTAAATCACAGACATTTACAATCTGGCACGTACAGGTTAGTGAATGAACCTAATTGAATTCCTATCATCAGCTTCTCAGTACAACTTATTTTTCTCTATTTTTTGTATGGATACTTTATTTGAAAAATTCTTACATAATAGTATTTAATAATTGGAAGGTTCTTGAAAATGTTGGGTAAAGTTTGCACAACTGGGAAAACAATTGATCCTTTAACAAACTAATGCACAAGCCAAGAAACCTGAAGTGGGGAAATGTAAATTAAAGCCAACCAAATTGGCATGAATTTAAAAGCCAAAACTTGAGTGCTAGGGCTGGTATGGAACAGACTAGATTCCCTTGGAGGTGTACACTGAAAGGATCACTGTGTGGGACATGTGTAGAATATATGCACGTTACAACAGAGGTGTGAAGTGGGCTAAAGGTGTTGCTCAATGGAAAGCAAATGTTAGGGTCACAAGGTCCAGGGTTGGATCCCTAGCACGCGTACACACACATACACACAAATTCATGAAACAACACTATAATATGAGATGCATCTGGTATCTATCCTAAGTTACTGAATTTTTAAAAAAGTGCTAGTCCTGACCCACTAAATTGTTTTCCTAACTCATTAATGGATAACAACTCATACTTGAAAAACACTGCTCTGAGAATGTTGGCTGTGGTGTCAGGTGTGGGTAACACGCATCTATCATCCCAGCATTTTGGGAGGCTGAGGCAGGAGGATTGCAAGCTCAAGCCCAGCCTGGGCAATTTAGTAATTTAGGGAGGTCCTGACTCAAAACTGATTTTAAAAGGGCAGGACCCTGGCTTAGCATATTACAAACTAATGTCCCAAAATTGTTGATTGGAAAAATAAAGTCTTGTTTATCCATAAAATGAAACTATCAGTGAAATAAGCTACAATGAGTGATAGCAACAATGTAGTCATATCTCAACCATGAGCAGATAGAAAAAAAGGGAAGCCAATGTACAGGAGAATACATCTGGTATAATTGTCCTAATATAAAGTTCAGAAATATGCAAAACTAAAGACAGCTTAAATGACACATTTGTGGTAAAAACTTTAAAAAGGCAGTGTTAGTTTGTTAGTGCTAAATTTACCTAACCTGTCTCATGCCCTTAAAAATGGAAGACACCATAATATATCAATTTTCAAGAGTCACAGGGATGTACAATTACTAACTTTTATAACAACCAGTTCCTGACCCCTGTGGGGACATTTGCCTGAGGTATGTATGAAATGGACATGCAGAGGTAAGGGACTTGGGAGCTGCACACCCAAAACCTGGAATGCATGGTTAGAGATGAAACCCTGCAGGGCCACAAGTCCGACTAGGATTAAACTGCATTGCCTTGAGGAATGAATGCTCTGGCCTTGTCTGGGCCCCATACTCTAGGTTATTCCTTAGACTGGCCCTAAGGCCATTCATGGAATGGACCACCTGGAATGGACCACCTGGATTTTACCGTTTTTCCCTTTCCCCTACATGGAATCCTGCACTGACATCCTTTGTCCTTTATCCTGGCTTCCTGATTCTGTCAATAAAAAGCCACAGAACCTTCAGTTCAGGGCTGACTATAAGGGTCTCAGTTAAGAGCAGTCCCTCTGGGCCTTGGAGTTTGAATTGGGGTTTTAAAAAGGCACTAATAGTTGGGTGTGGTGGCACACACCTGTAATCACAGTATTTGAGAGGCTGAGGCAGGAGAGTTTGAGGGCCAGGCTGTGTTACATAGTTCAGGGCCAACCTGAATTACATAGCAAGGCTTTGTCTCCAAAGGGGGCGGGGGGAGGCTGGTGATTTAGTTCAGTGGTTATGCCGCCTGCCTTGCAAGTGCAAGAACCCAAGTTCTATCCCCAGGACCAAAAAAAGTTAATTCTGAATAATAGTTACCCCTGAAGATGTAAGAACAAAATAAAGTTTATATTCTGTATTTTTAGCTAGGTGGCGAGAGACAGGTGTTTCTTAAATGGGGATTCTTTTTGGTTGGCTTTTTTATCCCGCCTCTCTCCTCTCTGAGACAGGTCTCCCTACATAGTCTAGATGAGCCTTGACCTCACTGTAGCCCAGTCTGGCCTTGGATTCGAAACTCTGCTGCAGCCTTAGGAATGTTAGGATTGCAGGGTGTGCCATCACACCCAGCTTCCAAACTATTTTGAGTTTACAAGTATATTTAAGGAACCAGACATGGTGACACATACTCGTAATCCAGCACTCACAAGGCTGAAGCAGGATTATAAATTCGGGAACAGCACATATGCATACCCATTTCTACAGTGGCATAATTCTCAGCTAAGCTGCAGAAACAGCCAGATGCTCATCAACAAGTGAACAGACAAAATGAGTATATACATAATGTACTATTATTCCACCATAAAGTGAAATCATAATTTTCAGAATGGATGAAACTAGAGACCATCATGTTAAAAGATCAACATTGCATGTTTTCACTTACTTGAGAAATTGAAAAAGTAAAGGAGAGATGACAGGAAACTAGGAGGTAGTCTGGAGATGGGGAAGGGGATCGGGAAAGAGGGAAAAGAAGGGGACGGTGGGATAGAAAATGACCCAGATACATTATAAAAGCCTTTAACAATTTGTCAAAACAAATTTCACCATTCTGTTACTAACATGCATGAATAAAAAACAAAATGAAAGAAGTGTACTTCGGGGAACAGTCATAGACTGATGACCTATAGGTCGCAGGTGTCCACAAATTTGTCTTGTTTGGCCTTGCGTGGTGGGAACAACTGATCACAGGCTCCAAAGCAGGAACATCCTTTCTAGGGGCTCCTGCTCACCAGTTCGTTTCCCCACCAGGAGTGATTCCCTGGAGCCATTTAGTGACCCCTGAAGCATCTCTGTTTGAAACTTGAGAACAGAACTGGAAAGAAACCTAAGGATCATATCTGATCACCTTCATTTCTTGGACGAGGAAATAAAGAGATCCATAGCACTTGATTGCACTTTCCAGTACACACTTCAGTGCGTTCATCAATTTACTTATTCTTTAGTGCCTCGCATGTAACATGTCAAGTGAGGACCACACTAGGTTTCACCACGATTACCTTTCCCTATCTGCTTATTTCTGGTTCATGTACTCACTGTCCAAATTCCTTTTTAAGGCTGTGCTAGACACCACAGAATGAGTGAATGATGACAAAAACAGTCTCCACTGTGATGAAAGGCCAAGAATGCTAAGAATCTGACCCTACCCCTCTCCTCCCAGTAAATCAAAAATTAAGAGAGATTTACATCTCTATTGGTCATCAATTTTCAATTTTTATGTACTCGATTACTACAAATGGGTAGAACCCAAATAAATTCCTAAATGCCCTGTATGTTAGTCATCCTCAAGAAAGCCTCTGCCCAGATGAAATTACATGTGCAAGGGTTATATTAGGGAAAATGCTTATCTATAAAGGAAAACAGGAAGGAAGCCAGAGAAGGCAGGGTGAGCCATTAGACCTTAATGCAAGCCTGACCTGGTTAAGGAAAGAGGAAGCCAGGATAGGGATAATTGTCCTAAGCTGCCTTGCAGTCTAACGAAGGTTCAGCAAAGCCCTTTGTCAGGAGTTTTATACACGCACAAGTCCCTTTGTCTCTTCTCCCTGGAAAGAGTCTGTGTGTTTATCTCAGCTGACCTCAGTCAGGGGCAGGAACCAGCCCTTGGGAGACGTGACCTCAGCCTGGAACACATCTCTAATCAGTGGGGGCCCACAGATATTACACAAACAACCTAAGAGGTCAGTTCTCATATCTGCCACACAAGCAGTGTAAAAAATACAATGTATTTGGCCTGAGTAGTTACAGATTTGGCCCATACTTGATGTACTTGATCTAGGGCGTGATGGCAAACCTTTTAGAGCTTTCAATAACAACAAACAGCCCACTGCGGCATGCAGGCCATAGATTCACCGCCACAGACCTAAGGGTTTCAAGGAATATCCCCAGTATTCCCTTACTAAAAATCTTCAGTGGTTACAGTCACACACAATCATCCCATGTGTCCAAACTGTAAAAGTAAGGTAATGTATGGAACCTGACTGACTGGTTCACCTTATCCAGCCTCAGCCCTGAATATGTCTAAGAAACTCAGAGTAAGTCTGGGTCAGATAATCCACAAGTGGAAATATTCTAGTGCGGGAAGGATAGTGTTGCTGTAAAACACCTAATATTGTACATCCTGAGACTGTACCCTTGAAGAAAACATAACTCTGAAATAGTTCCCTTCAGTATGCTGACTTCCTTGCTAACAGCTTCTCGATCTTTTATTCTCTGGGCATATTCCAAAAGATCTTTTATTAAGTTCCCACTCATATTTGGAAATAGCCTTAATTTAGCAGCCAGAAATTAGGGAGTAACAGCAAAGTGCTGTTTTGCCTCTAGAAAATAAATCACTTTTACTTTTAAATTGCACTTTTTTTGTTGTTTTGTTTTGTTTTTTTGGTACCGGGGATCAAACTTGGGTCCTTGTGCTTGAGAAGCAGGGGGCGGAACCACTGAGCTAAATCCCCGACAAATTGCACATATTTTTAATTTGCATGATGCAAAATTCAAAAGGGATGAAGATAGAATAAAGACCCTCCTTTCCACCACCTCACAGCCAACCACTTTCTTCCCTCAAATAAGTAATGTTAGCACTTTGCATTTTTCCAAATCATTTTATACACATTCAAGTAAATATGAATATATTTTCTCCCGTTTACAAAAATAGGAAATCATAGTGTTTACTGCTCCACAGTATTGGATTGTATGACTGTACCACACTTAACTGTATCAGTCCCCTACTAGTGGACATTTATGCTTTTCTTTCTAGGCCCAGGGATGTAGCTCAGTGGCACAGCACCTGCCTGGCAAGTGTGAGATCCTGAGTTCGATCCCTGGTACCAAAAAAAGTAAAAAATAAAATTCTGTCTAATCTACAAACAATGCTGCAGTGAACAACCTTGTAGGTACATTATTTTACATGTGCACAAGTATACATGAAGGCTATGTTTCATTCATGTCTTGGTTACTTTTCTCCTTGTTAAGACAAATATCCAACACCCAAAGTTAAGGGAGGAAAGGTTTATTTCAGCTCACAGTTTATACAGGTTTCAGTCCATAGTGGCTGGCTCCAAGGCAGGGTGGCATGGCAGAGGTGTTGCAGAGAAGAAGCAGTCCATGGCAGGCAGGGAGGTAGGGAGGAGAGGACAGAGCAGCAACAGCAAGGCTCCTTTCCCTCTCTCCTATATTCCATCCAGGGTGAGCCCATTGATTGGTACCACCCACAGCCAGGAAGGGGTATTATCCACACCCTTAATCACAGTGTCACACCCTTATTTCACATTCACACACCCTAATTCTGCCACTTTCCAAACTCCACTCCTATGACTGCATGATGCTTTGGAGAGACATCTAGACACAAGCCAAACAATTCATGGAGTTTTTTTTTGGGTGGCACCGGGGATCAAATGTGAACTTGTGAGGCAGGCAAGGGCACCACTGAGCTAAATCCCCAGTCCTCAATTCATGCTTTTGATGATAATTTCTAAACTGCCCCCAACAGAATTTATATCAATTGCCACTATTACATATAAATATCGGTGAAAGCTTTCCATCAGGAAGACACACGAAAGATGAAAATGTTATGTAAAGTTATTATCGTTAAGAAATAAGGATTGCTGGGCATGGTGGTTCAAACCTGTAATTTCAGCTCTTGCGAGGCGAGACAGGAAGATTGCCGTGAGTTCTGATGGCAATAAGCCCCAGACTCAATTTGTGGGTGCAAAAATAAAACTTAGACATCAAGAAATCTCGACAAGGCAGTTTTTCTGCAGAAAGCTGTGAGCACTCTAGGGCACGGCAGCAAACACACCAAGCTGCTGTAGCAGTTCCTCATGTATCCGTGGAGGTAGTTGACCTCCCCACTGGCTAGTTCAAAGGTTCACAATCTACTGATAGTCTAGTTTTTGTGGCAAGCGGGTACAGCCTGAAGGGGTTGCTGGGCAAAGTAGCAGAGAGGGTCTGGGGAGCGGGGCACAGGGAATTGAAAGTCCTTGGCATAAGATGTTCCAGGTTCCTGTAACTGTAGTAACTGCAACCCTGGTGCACGAGGTACAGGAGGGCAACCTAGGGTGAAATAAAGTTTAAGACAGAGGCACTCGGTTTATATCCCTTGATAGAAAAGATAGGGTTAGAGTTTCCACAGTTTCAAACCAGCCTGGACTACTCAGAGAGACCCTGTAAGAAAGGAAAGAAAGAGGGGGGAATTCGGGGAGAGGGAGACACAGAGAGTCTGTGTGACTTATAGTGCTTCTGCCTACCATGTGTGAAGCCCTGGGTTCCATTCCCAGTACTAAAAAGAAAAAAAGGGGCCGGGGATTTAGCTCAGTGATTCCGTCGCCGGCCTCGCAAGCTCAAGGTCCTCAGTTGGATCCCCGGTACAAAACAAACATAAAAAGAAAAAAAAAGACTGAGACTCAACTATAGCCACACTTAGTTTGGACATCCACACATGCTGAACCAAGTAACATCTTTACCTCCTCAAAGATGTTAAAGTGTGCCTAAATCAATAAACAAAATTCCAGAACCATGCTCAGCACCAGTAACATGGTGAGAAGTCAGAAGAGGTCAATGGAGATAAGGATTACGGAACTTCTCTAAAAATAATTTTCCTGACTGGGTGGGAGCAGGTTCCTTCCACTTCATTGCCTCAACGTCAACCAAACACCTCAGGGCGAGTACAGGCCTATTATGATGCAGAGAAAGCTGGGACTCGGAGGTTCTCCCTACGGCGGTGGGCACCTGGAAAGGCAGCTGTGGACAATGGACACGAAGCCGTGTGCAGCCACCACGAGTTTCGTGGACGTGCCTCGCAGGTGAAGGCTATTCCCCGTAATCAGATCTCCTGTGCACAAAGCCTACCGATGCTCTCAGTCGGCAGGTCTCTAGAGCCGGGGAAATTGGAACGCTGACTCACCCAGCTGCAGAGATATCGCCCCCTCCCTCTCCTGCCCGGCCCACCCCGGCCCACCATGGCCCCCCTTGGCCCACCATTGGCCCACCTTAGCCCACCTTGGCCCGCCTTTTCCTTTCCGGCTTTCTCCAAACCCACTAAAACTGAGCACCGGGTCTACGCGAGTCGCGTGACCGGGGCTTCACGTGACATAGCCGTCACTTGATGCAGCCCTGGAGGGGCCGGCCCGGTCTTACGTCATCAGGTCGCGCGGAGCCGGGAAGACCAGGGCGAAGCCTCCAGAGCCCCTGGGCCTGGGCGGCGGCGCTCGGCCCGCTAAGCCGCCTGC